TATGTCCCATTTATAAATACCTGATTGTGTGGCACGTGGTGCTGGAGGGATCAATCAAACGTATGTATTTCTAAATGTCAATTGATTGGTAGTCTCTATATATCGTAGTGCGCCGGTCAGTGTCACATCCGTATTTTACAGGGTCAGGGCACTCTTATTTAGATGCACGGCACAAAGAGCCCACCAATAGTGACTGCACCAACGTACGACCACGATTGCTTTGTTTCATTGCAGGGCAAAGGAAAGATGCGCACTCACTGGCTCCTGGAAGGCGATGTCTTGTCGAGCGCCGCCGGTGGTGGCCGCCGCCGCATTTCGCTGGGTGAAACGGGTCCACTAACAAGACCAAGGACTAAGCGAGCATCCAAGTGATGGTCTGCTGGAAACCAGTTTCAATCGACTTAATCCGATGAGTTCTGCGAGCATTATATGGCCTTACACTCCACAAACGGTGTGCTGGAGTGTAAGATATAGCGTCAATTCAGGCCAGGGTTGCTAAGAAAGTCCAGCAATGGGCAGCTAATGATTATAGTGCCCATTAATGTAAACTTCGCATATAATTTTAGCATTGAAAAGGAGGTGGCAGTTTTTGTGCCCAATTTGTGATACTGTTTTCGTAAATTCTGCTCTCGGAAAGAAACTTTGGTCGGCACAGAAAAACCGCTCTTACAATGCTTGTTGTTTTTGTATATTTTCAAACCTACCACCTTGCATTTCAATGCTTTAAATGTGAAGTATGTTCAGCCACTGTACTTAATTACTGCTGTGATGTTTGTGGACTAAGATTGTGCAGCTTTACTAATGAAGTCAAAGCGAGCGAAAGGGCAATTTGCGTTTTTATGAGTCACGCGGAATCATAGGGACGGAAACAGTGTACGGTGCCCTATATACCTAGATCTTAAGGTTTGAAGCGTTCGTGCTCTTTTCGACAAACAATTTGGCTTTTAAAGATGCTAGGCATTGTTATCTGGACTGGCCATAAAAAATCTCTTTGCGTGAAAGTTATGAGATTCGCTGACGTTTCCTCTACCGCATATGTACTTAACCCTACTCAGGAAGAAATTTCAGCAAGCAAGGACACATGCTTGGCTTTTGGAGCACCTCTGCTCACTGATTTAAAGACAAGGACCATTAGATCATAAAGCAGCTTGCTCTTCTCGAGACAGACTAACTTGCGTCAATTTCTACCCAAATGAAATGCTTAAACAAAGCATTTAGGTCATTCGGTGGTTGTGTTAATAGTGTTGATGTTTTTTTCCCGGTGACACTGAGATATTTTAGCCAAGCACAAATTATTTGGAAAAAATTGGCTGCTTCATTATGAATTGTGATGATGAATACTGAAGACAAAACTCGTAATTTGTTTTAGATTGGTGTGATTACGCCGTTCAAATGTGTGTTCTGAAATTAGCTCATCAATAAAGGTCATGATGTGAAGACGAAAGGCTAAAGTTTGATCTTGTATACCAAGGATTTTTAAAGCTTGCAAGTGTCGTAGTTTCTGTTTCACATTTGCTTCTAAAGTTGTGATCCAGTTATTGTGCGTGTGTGAATATAGCAACGCCATTGTCCTTAATGAAAAGAAATTACAGAATGAGGACTTAGGAGGTGTTGGCGTCATATTTATACCTATACTTAGGCACGACGCAACTCATCTTGTGCATTTCGAATGCGAAGCAGGTTCACTAAAATTGGGCTTATTTCATGTTTCTGTGAGACTACAAAACTCTATGAACCTACTCGCAATCAGGCACGAGTACAAAAACACTCGTTTGTACCACCATGCCATGAGTGCTACTACAATTCATCCCTCAGTCGATGCTACACTCCACTCAGCGTTTCGGTGGTAGCAACAGTGCTTTTATGATGAACTATATTCTGAATTACAACACCTCCAACTATATTCTAAATTTCAGATAATGGGGACGTTTGCATTTTAAGCACTGCATATGCTGCACTTTTATAAGATATGCTGACTCATACACGGATGCAATTAAAGATTAAGCTCCTTATTTGTTTTCAGCCTAATATGGCATGACATACAAAGTTTTTGTGTTTTTTACCTATTGATGCATAAAAGTGTCATGCACAATGCTGTTATTACAAATCGTGGTCTCCTCAATGCATTCCGGATTGTGCCATTTCCCATAAAGTGCGTAGAGATGTGGCCAAGTTTTCTTTTTCTTTAACCATGTGCACTGGAGTCTTCGATTAAGTAAGCAATTTATTATTCTCATGATGCGGCTTAAAAGACACAAAAGACGTAAGCTTACAGTTAGCCTGACCCCACTTTGTACCCAGCGTAGGTTACTCACATGTACCCCAGCTTTTGTCATCAGCATTCGGAGGAAGGAGGGCAAATTATCAAGAATGCTTCGATGGAGGCATTCTTATTGTGTGAGCACGCATCAAAACACTGCTTTAACACTCTCATTTGCTCACTGTGCGAGTTGGGCCAGAGCCTTTGGAGGTGCTAGTTGGACAGTTAGAAACAGCAAAAACTCGCGGATGCAGCGCGCAGCAGCACGTGTTTGCGTCATTATCCGCCGCAAAGCTCATAGGTCAATCCTTAACTGGCACCCGCGACCGAACGGTAATCAGCACCACTTCCATATTTATTCTTCCTGTCCTATTTAAAAGTGGCCACCAGAGAATATGCACGAACGGTTCCCGTGCTTCACGCAGTTACGCCTTCCGATAGAGCTCCTTGCGTGCGGCAAGGTGCTGCTTATACCCAACTGAAGCGTCGTAATGGCGACATGCGGTGCTCGCACACATATCGCGTCGGGTGTATGGGTTTGTCAGTTCAAAGTAGTTCTAATATCTCTCTCTAGCCAGCCACTTCAATAATTTTGCTTCACCGTACTTTGTCTCCGTAGAAGTAGGTTGTTTCTGACGCTTTTCGATCGCTTAGATTTTTCATTCTCTGCGTGTTTCTTCTCTATATTTTGGCCAGATGCTTAAAAGTGCTTCCTTTCGTTTCACTGCCAAGTGGAGTCTTGACACGTGCCTACAAATAAGACCGGTTCGATCTGCTATACAAGTAGTAAAAGTAAATTGACAGTGGCTTCAAACACTTTTGTCTGGTCTTAGTTTGTGCTTTTGCCACAACCAGCGTACAGACCATCACTGCTTCGAAAACACTTCAGAGGAACATGAAAACGTCCAGGTCGTTTTTTTTTTTCACAATCTTGAATAAAACCACCGTTTTTACAAAATCTCTCGATTGTTTGTATGCCACAGTCTCAAGCTCTATAACAGAAAAATATAATTTCTACAGTTGCCGGAATAAACTGCATGCGTAGTGATTTCGGATCTTACATATTATAAGCATTATTATAAAACTCTCTTCTGATTAAGGTTTTCTTGGCTTATAATCTTTAACTACATTTCATAGAGCTGCATAAGTGATGCATTTATTCGATGTGTCTTCCTTACTATAAAACTTGAAGAATATCAAAAACGTCTTATTATGCTAGGCGAAGTGACCACTAGAAAAAAACTATATGTGATTTGTTCGCTAAACAAGGGCTAAACTCATTGTTTTCTATGCTACGAAATATAGAAACCTCTCCTTTGACTATGAGAAGGCAGCAGTGTATGAACGTCCGTCGATAGCAAGTATATCACACAAAGGGTAATCAATTACCGCTCGGATCCAGCTTGAACGCATAGACCATTCATGGTCATCTATATGAAGTTATTCACAAGAGTTTGTCTGTGCATGTTTACAATTTACTGATATCTGACTACCTCTTCTCACTTTGGCCTGGTAAGATTTACACGTGATCTTATTAATAGGCAGCTCCACCGAAACTACCACACAGATGCAGCTACCTGTTCTCACTTTGGCCTGGTTAGATTTGTACCTGGTCTCATTAATAAGCAGCTTCACCGGAACTATCACCACAGATGCAGCGGTAGCCGACTTTTTTTTGTTTACGGCATCACGAACTAAAATTAAAAAAAATGGCACCTGCATGTTTCCAGGTGAAAAAACACATGTAATGACAAGCACAATTTCTTTTTATAACATAACTCCGGTTTATGATTCCCTGCAGAATATTACGGCTGCTTGGTCAGTCTCACCACTGAAAGGAAGTTCAACGTTCCTCCATCTACAAGATCGGTCCTGTATAGCGGGCGTGGGGATCCTGCACACGGTGTTTTAGTAAAGTGGGCTGATACATGAGCAAGTCTGATGATGCCAAAACTGGGGCGCCATCTCTGACATTCATATCGTGTTTTCGGTTAGAACAATCTTTGTCCAGATTCAAAAATACTTTTCCTTCTTTATTGATACAGATGCGAAGCGTTTAGAGTAACAGAGACAGATGTTCTCAGGTGGAGTATATGGTTGAAGGTGGGTTCTGCTCCTGTTGACCTGATAGACAAGTGGACGGCCTCCTTTAGAAGAGCAGTGCGCACATTTGATTAGGATCGATCTATTTTTGCAGCGTGGTAAATTGGCGAGTTTGCTGAGAATAAGCGGTTGAAGTATGCACATCATGGTGTCTGTGTCTCTTTGTACTTGCCTACTGGCGCAAAGGCAGTAGGCAGCTCAGCTGCTTACATCAACAGACCCAATAAACAAGGCTGTGTTCTTTTTCATAGCGAGAAACACTCAATTTATTTAGCTCAAATGATTTTATTTTCACTGAGCGTGAAAACAGGCAAACCGCGGCACCAAACAATTTCACGAAACAGTGCAAGACAATTTGCTAACCCAATATATATCCTCTTTTTCGCATCTCCTTAAGAGGCAGACATTCTTCACATACGAACATTTATCTATAGGGAATATACGTACACGCTGAGAAGCCAAGCAAAGTGATTGCTGGCCAAGAGCGGTACCATTTTTCTGCGCAATTTTTAATTACATGATGCCTAAGGTTTCACTTAAAATATAAATAATTAGAATCACTAGATAACCTTAGGCGAAACTTGTAAATGTTTTTCTTTGTGGAGTGCTCTTATCAAAAAGGTTGCCACCTCGGCTGTTATGTTGTGCATCAAAATTCGCTGCAATACGTTCTTGAGCACACTTCTAGTGTTAGAACAATTTCAGGACGATGGTGGGTGGAAGGAGTATACTCGTATTTGGCAAATATAATTTCAGTGTGAACAATAAAATACTTCCTTTTTAACTGTAGCTTTAAAAATAAATTTTAAAGATTTTGCTTCGCCGTTAACGCATCTTCATAACAGTGGATTTTTCACAGGAATGTATTTGTGAGAACCCATTGTTCGTAGAATATCACCATGTTTGGTGAATTTTTGAAGCTCAGACATTGGGTCTAAAGGGAGCTACACTAAGGGCGACAACTTTATGAGTGATACACATTTGGGGGAGCGATAGATGCGTTTGCAGCAGTCGGGGTCGTCACTTCCAATAAGGCTCTTCCTTGGCAGGTGGGTTGCGTGGTGGTTGTGACTGCACGAGAACCGGTGTGCGGCCGATGTACTCGACGCCTACTATGTAGGCGCCTAGCCCACCACGGTTGCGGCCACTCTGCTTGTGCGTCTTCTTTCCCGACGAGAACTTTGCGCCGTACCTTCGGGTCTGCCCAGCGTACGCCTCGTTGAAACCGCCTTCGTTGAGAGCGTTGCTATACTCTTCGTACGGCTTAGCCTGAGCATCACGATTGTCGGAACCATAACTCTGGAGCCCGTAAGCACCATTGTCGTGGCGGCTGTAGTATCCGTCCGAGCCGTAATACGGGACAAAGTCTCGGTACCGCAAGTTTCCATTTCCCTGTCCATAACCGCCAAAGATGCTTAGGCCACCTTGGATAGAAGAGCCCGGCTGCAAAAGCGGCTTGTTCGTCCCGAAATCGTAGTCACCGCCCACGGCCTGGTAACGATCGGTGTCAGCATAATTGTAGCTTCCCCCGTCGAACACCGAGCTGCTGCTGCCTATTTTGTTGTTGTGGAGCCGCGAGGAGTAGTCGACCTGGCCTCCAGCCTGCTGGTCTCCTTGCTCGTACGGGTACACTTCGCGGGTGTATTCGACCGGTATGTAGGTCATTCCACGTGGACGGCTCTTGTGGCGATAAGTTCCCCTGTGTTGACTCCCTCGAACATAGTCTTCTCGATTGTAAATGGGTGTCAAGTAGCCATCATTATTGTACATGTTACCGTCATAAGATGCGGTTCCTGGTCTAGAGTCGTCACTCTCTTTGTAGCCTGCAGCATCGTCGCTTCCGTGACTGTACTTCACTTTGCCGTAGCTGACTCTCTCGTGCAGCGACGGGCTTTCGTAACCCCGCTCCTGCCGGTAGGAATCATCACGGCTGTAGCTGATCTTGCCATACGTTGCGCCTCCAAGCTTCGCATAACTTTTGGGGTACTCAGGACGTTCGTAAGTTTCTTGGTGTTGGTAACCGATGGGCTCCAAAGGAGTGTCCACTTCAAGCGAAGATTGCTTATTGACGCGACTGTGCTTGTATCTCGTGCTTTCGCCCACAAGGTCACCATCAGTCGATTCGTTGGCTCCGGCTTTGTCGGCAAGCTCTTTCGGTTTTGTACCTTCAGCCACACCTTGGTTAGCCAGGAACAGTGCTACGAGTGCGGTGGCCAGCAGCCTGCATTTTGCCTGCAAGAGAGCGAAACCATGAATAACCGAAAAGTCCAAAACGACATAGCAAGAGTCTTTCCGATTTTGTGCGCTGATACCTGCACTCTAAAGGCTCCAACCGCCGATGCAAGCTATATTGCTGCGTATCTCGAAAAAGAAAGTTTGACATCTTAACGTGAGAGCTTGTGAAGTATGGCGTACTGAAACGATCTTGATCCAGATAGTATTTGAGCTTCGAGAGTGCTGGCTTGAAAAAGAGCCATTTATTTCGTTTTGGTGCATTGATTTTGCATCATTCAAAGGTTGAAAATGGTCGAACTCTGCGATAAGATACATGCTGTGCTGCTTAAATCACTCACGAAGCACAAGAAATTCTGTAGGTTCACAATGTCATACCGACTCAGATTCTCTTCAGAATGACGCATTCCCTGCTATAAAACTGCATCTTCCTTACGGGCAAATTTTCAGATATTGCACAATCAGTATGTATATTTGCATCACTCAATAGGCATAGACCAACACTCAAAAATGTTATCTATCATTTAACCATCACCCGTAAAATTACGCCCCTATTAGCGTCTTGGTGAAAGTGCAGTGGTATTCTTTCTTTTTTCACCAACGGTATTGTATGGTTACGTCATGCGACAACTGTACTCTTGCGCCGTCTGAATGAAATGATTGATTGTCGCACCGGCTAGATACGGTATGGTTACTAGCGGCAGTAATTCTAGTGTCCGCTTTCTGTGCTGACTACGCCTTATTTACTTGTAGGTGAATTGATAAATCAGCAATTGTTATGACAACTGTACTATCCTACTTTGTTTGTGAAACAACTATATATTTGTAGTTACTTGTGGAGGCGTACTTTCATTCTCCACCCACTGTGTTTTTAACGTGTTAATGGTGCTACAAACACACCTTCAAACCTTTAGATGTGAGATCTAGCGGAATAATACTTACACATTAACATACAAATCTTTATTATACACTTGCGAAGAGTACTGTCATATTTGCTCTAAGAAAGAGATAGAAACGTTTTATTTGTGCAAACTCTGTGGATGTTTTAGTTTCAGTTTCAGTTAAGTTAGCAGTCTTTTAGGGGCAAAGCTCCTTATAGCGACACCCGTTCGTCCCTCGTAGCTGTAGTAGTAGTATGTAACAAGTATAACATTTTGAACTCCAAGGTGGTACCGGTGAGAAGTTTCTTCTGTGCGTTGTTGAACAATAAAAGATAGTGCTCAATGTACATGCCGATGGCTGCTAAGGGAGAATGAGAGACAGGAGAATTTGGCTTTGTGTTAACGCGCACGCTGCGAATTTTTTATTGTTCAACAACGCACAGAAGACAAGAAAGGGTTGCTACGTTATCGCCTAGGTTTTAGAAAGGTTTAGCGAGCGTTGGGCCGCAGTGCCATGAATACAGTGAACTAGTATATACCATGAACTCGAGGTGGTTAAAGGTGGGAAGTAGACACGAAGCGCAAGCCGTAAGAAAGTGTGAGTGTGCCTCCTCTAATTCAGTCCTTGGGATGTCCGCTGGATGGCGATGCTTCTATATGAGGAATATATGATGAAAAGATGCGAGATAGTGGTACTTAGAGTGTTGAATAGGTGGACGAACGGACACACAGACAGATGCATGAATGGACGCACGGATGGCTGCACGGGTGCATGGACGAATGGATGGACGCAGGAGGGGATGCATGGACGAAATCAGGGACGGACAAACAGACGCACGCACGGACGTGCGGATGGACGCACGGGCGGCCACACAGACGAGCGCATGGTTTGACGGAAGCAAGAACGAATGAACAGACGGATGCTTCGCCCCACTATTCATCATTCACTCCGTGGATATGCTGCCATTTTTAACTATCGTGTTAAAGGACAATGTTACGGTTACAATATTTGATGTTTTCATACAATTGCAAAGGTGAACACAACATAATGCAAATCACATCAACAGGTAAAACAAATGCAGACAGGAATTAAAAGCTGCTAGAAAACAGCTTCACGAGATTCCTGATCTTAAAATAGTTTGGCCGCAGACACGTGGTCATGTAAACAAATACGAGTAAACAAACATAATAAAGTACAAGCAAGCAGCATGCAAGCAAGCAATACATAAACAAATTTAGCAGCAAAGTGTAATTGCAGATAGAACGCAAAAGTCAGCAAACACTAAAAAATAACGTATACATATGGAAGCAGAAAATAAAGAATAGAAATGAGCGCCAAGATGTGTAACAAAAAGAAAAAAACCACTATACGGCGTAGACATTGTACGCATAACGAAAAACCTAAGTTTATAATGCAGCTAATATATTTGTACATACATATAAATCAAAATAGACTTCTAACCAAACCAAACTTAAAATGCTAAATTGAAACTGATACTTCATAAACACTGAGAAGGTAAAACTCGACAGTAATTGATCGCGTTCAAAGGCGCTGTATAGAATTGCTAATTAAATACTCTTTCTACTCCTTTTTTGTCAACTTATCAGTTGTATTACCCTTGTTGTTTAGGTAATTCTAAAAGTTTGCCTTTTGTGACCATTGCAATAGGTGTGATTTTTCTGCTGCTAAGTACAGCGAAGATAAAACGCTTAATGAGAGTAGTGACAAGTAGACAGCCGACTGAACTAAAGCTGGCAAAGTGGAAGACGTTCACAACACAATCGAGCTTTTTTTTGTGGATTATCTCTCAAATTGCGCAAAAGCAGCGTATATGGCCAAAAAGAGCATTCGGTGAGAAAGCAACAAATTTAGAAAACAATTTTACACCGCTTTCTGCAGACCCATTGAGAATCAAGTTATAGTTTGATATGCTCATTTCAGATTTATTGTAGACAGGAAATGTAGATGAAAGCAACTGCTTTAAAGAAAAACCTTACTATGGAATAAGTAACATCTGTTCTGGGGATGTACTTTATGGTAGGACTCGTAAACATGCACATAGCTTGTGCATAGCGGGAAAATGCAAGCATATATGAACTCGTAGCCCAGTCTGCGTAACGAAACAGGTTTGAAAAGATAACAAGCCACTTGCGTGTTTGGTAATGTGGTGGCCACAGATAAAATTTAAAAAAGACAAGCGTTGAAAAGAACGCCCAAGGCTGTCTTCACTGCGCAGATATGGTTGGTGCATGTTACTACGCACGAAGACCAGGACGTATACACAGCTGAAGGGCTGTTTGTTAGGTGGCGAATGACAGCGGAGCCACGGCCAACAGGTTGATGATCGTAGCGTCATCGTCTTCTCTCTTCCTTCAGCACGGGGCAGCGCACACGTTCAATCCATTTCGTTTTCTTTCCATGTATGCCCAACATACCTCTCCACACAGACGAAGCCCGCCGGGTGAGTTAATCGATTCACCTTGGTGTGTAGAACTTCAGTCGAACGACATGTACTACTTGGATTTTAGGGGCTCTTCTTCTATTTCTTGTTCGGCGAGTTATTGTGTACGTGACTTCCATGAGTTTGTTGAGAAAGACAAACAGTCTGTCATATGTGGCCAAGAACTTTTCACATAAGCCACGTCTTTGTTCCGGAGTCCAGAGCCACACTAAGTCGCCTGGACGATAAGTTACAGGCTGGTGGCGCACGTCCTAGCGTGCCTTCGATTTGCCTTGTAATGCCGAAATGCGTGAATGAGCAATACCACGCGCTTCTTCCAGACGTCAGAGGATTTCGGCAGCAGAGAGGTTCTCGTGCGTCGAAAGTGGCAAAAATGTGTCCATTGTGCGCCGCGGCGGTCGTGAGTAAATCAAGAAAAAGGGGCTATTGCCTGTTGCCTCGTGCGTAGCGGTGTTGAACGCGTACGTTATGAATGGTAGCACGTCATTCCAGTTTTCGTGGTCGGATGCCACATACATAGAGAGCATGTTTATAATTGTTCGGTTGGCGCGCTCTGTGAGCCCATTTGTTTACGGATGGTATGGCGACAAGTGGCGAAAGTGGGACCCATTAAATCGAAGCAGCTATTCTACTATATCTGCCGTGAATGGTCGTCCACGATCACTGATGATCACGTGAGGTGAGCCATGTCGGAGGATAACGTGCCGCAGCAGGAACACAGAGAGACGTCACTGGTAGTTGTGGTTGGTATGGTCGCCATCTCGCAGTAGCGTGGGAAGTAATTGGCGCCTACAATTATTCAGCGATTCTCCTCAGCTGATTTTGGGAAAAAGGCCCACGAGATCAAAGCCCACTTGTTGTAAAGTGTGCTTGGAGGTGACAGGCGCTGTAGAACAGCTGGAGCAGAGGATCAGCGTTTGTGGCACTGACACAGCGTGCAGCTGGCCTCATACACCTCGACGGACTGTCGCATTCCCGGCCAATAAAAGCGTTCCTTAGCACAGTAGAGCATCCGCGCAGAACCAAATGTCCGGACATAGAATCGTCGTGCATAGCACTTAGAATCGCTGGCCGAAGGCTTCCCGGCACCACCAAGAAGAAACGTGCGCCAGAGCTGGAAAAGTTCTTCTCATACAGGAGTTCATCACATACGCAGAAATGGCATGCTTTAAGGGCTGTAAAGATCAATGCTAATTTGGTGTCCTTTCGCTGTTCATCTTTGAAAGTGCTGAGGTAGAAAAATTTTGTAGACACAAAAGCTACGAGGTGGTCGAAGTCATCGGTGTCACACTCTGTAGTGCTCAGTGGCATACGCAGAAGGCAAACTGCGTCGGCGTGTCGATGACCGCTTTTATACGAGTCTGTGAAGGTATACTCGTGGAGCCGAAGCGCAAGAATGCTAGACGGCCGCAAAGGTCCCAAAGGTTAACAAGCCAATAGAATGAGTGGTGGTCGGTGACGACTTTGAATGGGCGTCCGTATAAGTTAAACCGAAACCGCTGAATCACCAATATTACCGCGAGGCATTCTTATTCTTTGACATTGTAATCTTGCTCTGGCCTACTCAAAGAGCGACTTGCGTATGCGATCGTGTGTTCACGGTTACCATAGCACTCAACTATAGGACAGAAGCAACTCCTATGCCACTGGCATCCGTATGCAGTTCTGTTGGAGCTAATGTGTTGAAGTGTTGAAGAACAGGCGGCAACGTCAGCAGGAGCTTCACTTGGTGTAAAGAGAAGTTGCACTCCGGACTCCACTAAAAGTGAATATTTCCCCGTAGCAGACGTGGCAGCGCGTGCGCTGCATTGGAGAGTTTAGGTCTAAAGTGCAGAAAGTAGGAGCAAAGCCTAAAAAAACTACGGAGTTTCTTAAGAGGGCGCGGCACACTGAACGTTTCAACGGCTGCTGTCTTCTGTGGATCTGGGCGAATGCCATCCTTATTGACGAGGTGTCCAAGAACAAAGATTTGGTGGTCTCTGAAGTGGTATTTATTTGAGTCAGGAAAAAGCCCAGCGTTTCCGATGCAAGTCAGTAAAATATCCAGACGTGAAGTGGGTTTGCGGAAGGTGTGGCCAAAAATGACGACGTTTTCGTGATAGTAGATGCAAATGCTTAACTTCAAGTCAGAAAGAACTCTGTTCATAAATCACCTGAAAGTCGCTGGCGCGTTTCACAGTCCAAATGGCATCCCGTTGAATTAAAAAAGGCCGCCAACGGTTACAAAGGCTGTTTTTTCTTTATCTTCAGGATGCATAGGAATTTGCCAGTATCTGGCAATTAAGTCTACGGAAGAAAAGTAGGAGGCCGAATGTAAACAGTCGATGGCATCAACAATACGTGGAAGTTGATACACGTCTTTTTTTGTTACAGCGTTCAATCGACGATAATCAACGCGAGATCTCCAGGATTCGTCTATCTTCTAAACGAGAATCACTGGAGCTGCTCATGGACTCGCCGACTCTTGTATGACTCAATTTTGCATCATTTCGTTCACCTGCTCGTTAATAATCTGGCACTCGGATCGTGAAACGCGGTGTGACTTTTGTCTAATCAGATTGGCCGAACCCGTTTTAATAGTATGACGTGTGCGAGAAGTAGACATTAAAGATGCTTTGTTCCTCGGTGGATAGTTGAATGCGAAGACGTGCTACGACATTCGTCTATGTTCGGCGTACACGACCATTTCGCCATGGACAGAAGAGCCGTTTTCAAACTGTAGTTACGATGCCGTTCAAGCGCATCTCTAAGCTTGGTCACGAATAAGGTCTCCTGTTGTCCACTGACGATGGCTAACTTTACATCGGCTGGTAGCATCACTGGCTCTACGGAGCAATTGACAGTCCATAAGCCAGCGCGTCCACCTCTTATCGACACCACACTATGTGAGATTAACACATTATTTTTCATGCAGTTGATGAACACTGATACTAAGTTGGAATCAAAGTTGGCGAAATCACTGTCGCTGCAACCAACAAGTACCCGAATGGTTGATGATGGAGCTATGATAGCGTCGCTACAGTAACACATTGCTGTTTCACTACCCGCAGGGCTTTCCTAGAGTGCTGGTGGAACGTGATCATTTAAGAATATGGTCTCTGTGTGGCAATCAACAGTCGCACCATACTCCATCAAGAAGTCCATCCCCAAAATGACATCATGTGTCTTTCGCGGAATAATCACGAACTCCGTCGTAAAAACGTGGCCTCCGAGACACACGTCAGCTCTACCCACACCAACAGGCTGCAGTGGCTCGTCACTCACATCGCGAAGCTTCGAAGCTTGATCCCATTAAAATACAACCTTCCGTCAAAAAGTATCTTTCAAACACGCAGTCATGACAGAAATTGTCACCCCCATGTCAACCAAACCCATCGCAGGCACATCGTCAACAAAAACACGCACTTTGTTCTTGAGCATCAACACAGGAGGTATTTCTGATATAGCACATCTCTGACACCTCTCCTCCATTGGCCGCAGTTGCTAGTTTTCCTGTAGTAAAGGAGACGTGGTGCGACGCCGCGGTGAGGGAGAACGGGGAACACGAGAACGCTGTGGAGGCGTCAAACTCCTGTCAGATGTATGGAAGTGATTCCGGAGGGTGCGTGTCCAGTAGCCGTCGCCAGACGGTAGGTGTGTTGTTCTCGGGTTGTCGTGCGGCCGATCAGACGATCGTGTGAAGTGTTGGGGTGGGCCATAGTATGTTGCTCGCGGGTCATCGTGAGGTCGCTAGGGCAGTCGCGCAAAGTGTGGTGGGTGGCCATACCGTGGGGCTACGCGTCGACGGTTGCAAAATCGCAAAATATGTCCTGGGACACCACAGGAGTAGCGAACAGAGGGAAGTCGAAACACTCTTTGTTCGTAGATGATATCGTCTTCCCTGGCGTAGTGGGTCGGTTCTTCCCGTATATAACAGGGATTTACCGGGTGTCGTGAAGAAGGCGGAAGCTGGGAGCGCCCGTCATGGCTGGGAGCTGGCGAGTGTTGTGTCCTCCCTGGTGGGGGGGATGGGGAGTGCGCTGTACTCAACAGCTGCTGCACTAATCATCGATTGACAAGGTTCCATGGAAAGGCACGGTGTGGTCACAGCCTCACATAGTGCATACACTGAATGTTAGTCATATGCCGAATGGTGGTCGACTGCTGAATGTGACTGCTCTCTATAACGAGAAAGTTCTTCGCAAACAGTCTGTCGGATTGTCAAAAACATGTCTGGGCAAAAGCTGTCGATGCTGGCAACCGTTGTAACATTTGTGTGCCAGCTAAGCTTTGGAACAATCCTGCGCAATTTGAACTGTTCGAAAGTTCGGCATTGCCTAATGACGCCAGACACCGAGCTCAGGTGCCCTTTTCCATAGACATCCTCGGCTATGCTTGTCAGCAAATATCCCAGTTTGTCTTCTTCTGACATTTGAGTAGTGAGCACCTTGCAGATCGTCAGCACATCTTCTATTAACGCGGTGCATGTCTCACCTGGCAGCTGCCCGCTTTGAGACAATGTCGGCTTAGCCTCTCAACATATCTCAACATACGCACGTTCTTCGTGCCTGACAATCTCAACATATTGGGGTAACTACAATGCTGCAGTTGCCCCTGGTGACCAAAATAAAATGTTGCTTTGATTGATTGATTGATTGATTTGTGGGGTTTAACGTCCCAAAACCACCATTTGATTATGAGAGACGCCGTAGTGGAGGGCTCCGGAAATTTTGACCACCTGGGGTTCTTTAACGTACACCCAAATCTGAGTACACGGGCCTACAACATTTCCGCCTCCATCGGAAATGCAGCCGCCGCAACCGGGAATCGAACCCGCGACCTGCGGGTAGGCAGCCGAGTACCTTAGCCACTAGACCACCGCGGCGGGGCAAAAATGTTGCTTTGAAGTGGCGTGACTATTACACTGCTACTTTTGAATGACTTCATCATCTTGAATGGTGTTTAAAAGACTAGGTTTAAGTAGGTTAAGGCCTCATTTTTTATACATTTTGACATCGAAGTACTATTCTTACGGACTTCCTTCTACCCATCAGTAGCTCACCGCAGTGGCTTTGCGTGTACAGGACTCGGCTGCTGACTCGAGGGTCGTGGGCTTGATCCAGGCCGTGGTGTTAGCGTTTCAGTGAAGGCGAAGTACTAGAAGTCAATGTACTGTGTGATGTCAATGTATGGTGAAGAACAATAATGCTCCAAATTTCCGGCGCACTGCACTACGGCATGACTCTTAATCATATCGTGGTTTCGGCTAGTGAAACTGGTGCATATTGTCGCCACGTGGAAAAAATAGGACGCGGCGCATCACACAGGACCCCGGTGCAACAAAGAAGAGCAAGGTCTGTATTGACAGATCAAGAAGGAGCAGACGACACCACGTCGTCTTCCTCAGAGGAGAAACGGTGGTTGCTGCTCGTGCTCGTCCCTTGGTTGTTTTCTGCCACCCTGCCGGCTTTTAGTCATGACAATAATATGATTATTTACCTATTAGTAGAAGGAGAAGTTCGCAATTTTAATACATGAATAATATTTATTACCTTATGTCTAGTATTAGCACAGTTATATGTCAAGTTATGAAACGTTGTGCCTTAATAAAGTAGCTGAGTTGGCTACTTGGTTGTGCATACATAAATTAACGGCTCAAAAACATCTACACAAAAAGGAAACACACAAGATGTGCGTTTGTTCTGTGTGTTGCCGTTCTTTGGCCGTGTTTTAGTTGTCGTTCTGTTAGTCTTAAGTACAGCCCTGGCTCTCGAGTCAATCTGTACAGCATTATATTTTCATATGTATATATACTCTTGTAAACCACCTTGAGAGTTTTTGTATGTGGAGATATTCATATACCACACATAAGTAATAACCTCCGTAAAATAAATTAAGAAATATTCGAATGCATTTACGGCTTGCTCAAAATAGAATACCTTTAAGAAGTGAAAGTTGAACAAAAAATGACACCAGCCTTCCAGCTGAAAACGACTCAGTATTTGCGGAAGCTGGTATGCAATTTTCAGGTTAAAGTCTTTCTTCGATCCACCTCAACTTCTAAGTTGCTTGTAAACAAAAACTATAACCTTGCTATTTGCGCGCTTCATTGCGTCAATGGCTGCAGTTAATTTCTCAATTGGGCGTTCAATATAACGCATATGTGTTTAAAAAGTACTCTTATGAAAAACATCGAACCATTTTCTCTATAGGTTATGGTTCATCCAGGATATTGTGAGCTTGAAGTGATAATTCGCGAAGTTTCTTCCCGGAATTTCGGGAATGACAAATAGAAGGCCATACGAATATTATATGTCATACTTGAGTCTTATTTTAAATTTCTTGTATGCCAACCTTACGCTACATTCATGCCGAGTGGTTGATGATGGCGGCAGCGAAGGCAGAGAGGTGTTTGGCACAAGAAATTATCCTACACGAAGCTTGCTAGAACCTTATGTACTCAAATTGGGACAACACATTCTTACTACAATATTTTATCTTGCATTCTGAAGCATGTATACAGGACACGTGTGGTGTTAAAGCATGAAAGCTACTTTCACGGCATTTTCAAGCAGAGGAAGTTATACGCACTGTATCGACAAGCAGACACGTGGCCGTGCGGTAGAAGATCCGCTTCCCACGCAAAGAACCCCGGTTCAATCTCTATACAGACTCGAACTAGGTTGATTCGTTGCAGGCTCTGATCCAGGATTTTCTTTATCCGTTGTTTTATTTGAATATTGCTCAATTTTTTGTTATCGCATAATGCGATAATATCTCACTCACAACGAACGACGCCGAAATCAGAATTTCTGCGAAATGAGCTTTTTAATACTATCGCGTTAAAATCGAGCATCTTTGCGTGACCGAAAAATCAGGAAAGATACAAATAAAACAACTAATAAATAATTCTGAATCTGAGTCGGGATAGCTGCCGGGGTGTTTCCTAGCAAGCGGGTGTTCAACCACGCATTCACGTCTCTGCGAGTGAATACGAAAAAATAAATAACTTCTTCTTCTTTGAAATGCAGTGAAAGTAACTTTCGGTCTTTACAAACGCATCCTGAATACATGCTTCACAATGGCGCATGAAGCATTCTCGTAATAATGGGTGGTACAAGCGTACATTGCCATTGGGCGTCAGAACATGGGATTATCATAATGACTTCATAGTTCAAAGCCATTCCCCCTTACAAAAGGCAAACACGCTACTGCAGCCTTCATGCCACGTAGTGGGTGCATAGAAAGTTCAGAAAGATTTTATACACCAAGTGTTTGAATTACGAACTAGGAACAGAACCTCGTTATCGTGTTCATCTGTTAAAAGCAATGCTTAAAGGACCCTCGAGTGGTATTTCTGGAGTAATCAGCAAGGAACTTGATAAACACTGCATGGTGTCATGCACACACGCAGCTCCCACCAACTTGCACCATTGGTATGGTTAATGTGTTGCTGTTGTATAACGCATAATCAAGTATCCATTTACCAGAGTAACGCCTCACGAGCTTAAATTCATCATGCACCAGCAAAATGTAACACATTTATAACAAAGTCCGTAAATATTTATTCACAAAATACGGCAATTGCATGTGCGTTCTTCCACTCACTATAGGCTTATTGTCCACACGTAAATATTGTAAGCCAGGTCAACAACGCCGCTGGAAATGTCTCCACCATGGCATCCCTCCACCACGGCTTCCCTCACAATCATAATAAGGATTTGGGGCGTGGGACCCCAGATGTTATTGCATCGACAAAAAAAAAAATGCATATAGCTGTCGCCTTCGAGTAGTCTTAGGCGAAAGCCCTGCCGCGGTGGTCTAGTGGCTAAGGTACTCGGCTGCTGACCCGCAGGTAGCGGGATTGAATCCCGGCTGTGACGGCTGCATTTCCAATGGCGGCGGAAATGTTGTAGGCCCGTGTGCTCAGATTTGGGTGCACGTTAAAGAACCCCAAGAGGTCGAAATTTCCGGAGCCCTCCACTGTGGCGTCTCTCATAATCATATGCTGGTTTTGCGACGTTAAACCCCACATACCAATCAATTAGTCTTAGGTGGAAGTATGGCGCAACCCTGCTAGTTTTTTCGCTCACAAGCAACGCCGCTGACAATAACACCGCATTTTCTGCGACTCGAGCTCCTTAACAGGATATATTACAACTGCTGCTCATATAATAAATATAAATGGTCAAGTTTAAACATTTGCTGCGATCTGTTGAGACTGTTCTCTGCATCTCTTTCTTTAGTATTTCAAAACTACACTGAATGTCTATATAGCGGAGCAAATCAATGGAAGCTCGTAGCTTTGTGAAACCTTCTACCATTAGGTTAAACCTTTTGTTAAGCGGTAGTTTGCTGTTTGCAATGCTCATGAGTGAAAGGCCTGTGGCCTTGTACTACCATCATTATCATTAGCGTTTCCTAAATATACACTAGACGGAACTCTGGTGCTAGTGTCTACGGGAGCTGAAAGGCGCGGCACGTCAGCGAGCGTGGGAATGATGGGTAGTGCGCGGATTCGTCTAATCTTTGTACTTCTGTCTCCATGTGTGTTCGTGTGGCGTGGCACTTTTTTGTCACGAAACAAAAGTCTGCGAAATTACAGTTGTTCCGCTTCACTACCATAATATTTAGGCTTACCATTTCAAAATGAGTAACGAAGTTCAAAAGGGGTTGCTTGTTTCTTCTAAACAAGAACCGAAATACAGCAATTTACGAAGCCACAAAGTTTGATTGACTGTCCGCAAGGGCGAAGACTATGCAAATACGTGTACTACCCAACATTACCATGGTCGCTGAATCGTCGCAGTGCCACAGTCCTTTCTAAATAATTTTAATATAATCTATATCATTATCACCCCACTGTTGGGTTTGACGCTTGTGTCTTTTTATTGCGTATTTAATCAACAGTCATTACGTAACGAGTTCATCACATTTTTTTAGTATGTAACGTCACGCATTGATAACCGACATAAGGTTGCAGTTCCTTCTTGCAAGACTTTCATTTTCCATAATTCATTTCTCTTAAGACTTGCGAAGATTGGAATCACCTTCCTGCTCTCGCCACATCCATTACTAATCACAAATGTTTTCATACAGTCTTAACTAACAATAATTCATTAGTCTTAATTGACTAATTTTGGTTGTTGTTTGTTATTTTTATTTATTTTGATTATAACAATATTTTTTACCACTTCCCTCTGTAATGCTTCAGCCCTGAGGAAACAAATAATGAAATAAAGTACATGAAATTACATTAAAAGGCCGTGAAATTGTGATGCAGGTCATAACACATACACTTGATTGGACCCCCCCCCCCCCCGCCCTACTAAACACCCATAGATTGTTGTGAGATCAATTTGAAGGACCCTCACTTTTCCGGTGAGAGCGTGTGAGACGTGCGCCACGATGATATCCTAAATTGATGGGCAA